CTCCTAAGCCCCTTGAGATTCTTGAGTCAGATAAGAACATAATGAGCCAGGATATGAAACTGGTACAAAAACAAGGATGTTGACTTTTAAAGAAAACAACAAATATAGAAAGGATTTGAATGTCTGCTGCACAAGAAAGTAACATTCCCAGAATTGTAAAGATATATTTGACCTTTTCTCTGTAAAAATAATTAGTCACGAGATCATGAGGGGAGGAAGGGAGGGAGGCTGTGGGTAATGAAGGAGGATATATAAAAGGCTCAATAAAGTGGGAAGGAGAAGGCCCTCACTCCCTCTCCTTTTCTTTTCTCCCGAGTTTGTGTTGTCTTTCTTAATCCTCACCCCTCTCCTCAGGTACTGTTCAACTAGTGACGGCTGGCTCCGTCAGCCTAAGCACATCTGCCCACATTTGCATGCTGTGCTACCCATCCAGCCCACCTGTCACTGTAAAGAGGTAGGAGCAGCAGGGTTGAGCAGGCAGCCTCCACTTGCCTGAACACCTAAGGCAAGGGGAGCTCCATACTGGGCCTCTCTCCTACCCCTCCCCACACAAGACAGTGTTACTACCTTGTCATCTCAAAGAACCCAGAACACAACCATTCTGGCCTGACCCCCTTCCTGTCTACCAGGTGTCTGGGAAGAGGTGTAATGAGCGCTGCCAGCAGGCAGGGCAGAGGAGAGCTGGGACATGGGAAGCACCTCACCCCGTCCACCTGCACTGGCCCTACCCTTCTGCTCAAGTTGCAATGGGCTTCTATGGAACCAAGCCAATAGGAATAGGATTCAAGTCATGTGCATGATTTTTAATTTTCTAGTAGCCTCATTTTAAAAAGTTAACAGGAGGTAGATGAAAATAGTATTTTTATTTAACCCAACATAACCAAAGTATTATCATTTCAGCTTTTTCTCAGTATGAAAGGTTATTGATGAGATAGTTTACATTGTTTTTTACATCCTCAGTACTGGAAGTCTGGTATGTTTTACATCAACAACACATCTCAGTGTGGACCAGCCATGTTTCAAGTGCTCAGTGGCCACAAGTGGCTCGTGGCTACCATACTAGATAGTCCAGATCTAGAAGATGCATGAAAATCTGCATGTAATTGCAGTTATCATTCTGCTTATCTCATATTTGTGGTTAACATTTTGTTATATTCTCTTCTATGTATGTTGTTTTTGCAAAGCTAAATTCATGTTGCTTTATATAACTTTTTATCCTCCTGTTGTTTTGTGCTTCCTAAATCAAGTTATTCACAACCACATCATCTCTCATGATAATATCACAGACTATCCCATAACTCCGGCGTGTCATAATCTTCTTAACCAATGCCCAAATGTTGGACTGCTGCAGTTTTTCAGTATTACATATAATGGTGAGATGAATATTTTGTGTTCCTTGGGCCCTTAAGGCCTTAATGTAAGACTCTTTAGCACTTTAGCCATTTTTTAACAAAATGACTTTGTAATATCATCAGTCAAACAATAATCAACAAGTGTTTTCTGGCTGAGAGCCAAGGCACCTTAAGGTTTTTGGCATGCACCTTTGATAACTAGCTCTGTGACTTAGGACAAGCCACTTCACTTTCCATGCCAGAGTTGCTCCATTTATAAAATGAACTGATTGTATTAGGTGTTTCTTTTAAGGGTCTTTCCAGCTCTAACCTTCAGTAACGTTTTTCCCTAACCCTTACATCTAATCAATTAACCCGTCAAGCTAGTCATTATAAGTAATTATAAGCAAATCATGCCAAAGCCACTACCTACACATTTTAAAATCCATCCACTTGCCCTGGTCCCTGCTCATGGTGCCTTTGAGGTCACAGTCATCACTTATCTAAATTGTGATGGACAAATCCAGTGCAGAGAGATGAATTTCTAAAATTAACATCAAAAAATAAAATAAAATCAACATCAAAGTCCAAAATCAGAAATAAGATTAAATGAGAGGTGAATGAAAGGGTGGAGCTGGCACAGAGGAGGTGGTCAGTGAGTATTTGCTTCATTTGAATCTGAGCCTCAACACACACACACACACACACACACACACACACACAGACAAACCTGTTCCTCAAAGCTATGAGGAGTTCACAGTGCAGCCCTGGAATTGTGAATGGGTGCTGCCTCACCAGCCCTACCCCAAACACTGGGAGCTGCAGGAAGACAAAGACAAAGACAAAGGCTCCGAAACTTCCCCTAAGTGGCTGACAGTCTAGAGGGGGATATCAGAACCCCTGTACACAAAACAAGCATGCCTTGGGCGGTGTCTTCAATGGAAAAACCAGATGGAGAAAAGAACAATTATCCCAGCAAATCAGGCAAGCCTGCTGTTGAGGAAAAGGCTTAAGGAAATTTGTTCTGCCCTTTTCTTTGTGAACCAAGGAGTTAGGGCAGCCTGGGCAGGCAAAAGTACTTCACCTCTAGAAAATCTCAAGCTCTGTGATCTCAGTTGAATCATGAAGCTGCTTTTTGATCTCAGTATCCTCATCAGTAAAATGAAGCTAGGGTAATAGTAACCTTGCCCAAACCCAACCTTCTTCTAGAGTTGTGAGGGTGAACCCAGTAATTAGAGCTTGCCACACCATTTATGTAACAAGGTGATCTAATAGCTATGTAGACAACTAAAAGATGTACATCACTTCTTAAGAAAAGGAAATTTTTAATAATCATAAACAACATTTGTATTGAATGTTATAACTTACAAGACAATTTATGTGCATTTTTTTAAAAAGCCACGTAGTAGGTATAATCATTTGCTCTTCTGACACCTGAGAATACAGAGACGGAGAGAGCCTCAGGAACTTGTTTAAGTTTACACTGCTGTGAGGCTGTAAACAGATACAGGCTGAGTCCTTGGTTCTTAGTCCTATACTGTGCTGCCTTCCTATAAAAGCTTATCTCCAAAGCATTAATATTACCAACATACACATTAATAATGCTTGTTATGTAAGTTTCTCTTTGATCAAGAACACTAAGACATCAAAATTGAAACTCTAGGGGGAAATGCCTTGCATGCAACAACAGCAAGCTCACTTTCTCCTGTGAAAGAACAGTGGCTGTCCCCTGATTTGCATTTGGTGCCATACAGCGGGAAATATTTAAGTTTACAAATAGTTATATTTACAACTGCAACAGATATTTGGCAGTTAGTTTTTAACAATTGTTGCAAATGTGATTTATTTGCTATTATAAAAGGGCATTACTGTGTGAATATGACTCCTGAAATTAGCTTCAGTTTAGCAAGGGGCCTTGACAGCTTGACCCCTTAATATCCTTATAATGATGCCATTTACATTCAATGCTTATTCAAGTCACTCAATGCTAGATTTGTTTGAGAGGAGTCCACTCTAGGGCGGATGTATTATGTATTTTAACGTACAGAGTTGGCGAGTGGGGCACTGGGCCTTCTAAGAGGAAAAAATATTTAATCAAGTCTTCATGAAAATGTGTTAGTTTCCAACTTCCTACAGTGAAAATGCATTACTGCTAATTACAGCATACTTCGGAAATGCAATACTTCATGTTTTCTCCACAAGACATTTCTATGGCATGGATTATATGAAACGACATGTTCTGATCCTCTTCAACTTTAGCTTTTAATTTGACTGGAGAATTGGTACGGGATCAGTGCCTCTCCTCCAACATGGGATATAAGGAGGGTGAACTTGGAGCCAACCAGAACTGGAATCAAAACCCAGGGCCACCACTTCCTGTGCGGACTTGGATACCTCCCTTACCTGTTTCTTTATCTGTATCATACATAGGGCTATGATTTTACGTTGTTAAAAAGATCCAAGATGTTTGTGAAGTACACTGTAGGTACTTGATAAATGAGACCCAGTCACGGTTTTGTTGCTTGTTTAAAACTCAACTGTCACCTCTGGAATACAGCCCTGACTTCACTGGGCAAACCCAGCCTGTCCTTTCTTTCTGCATCAATAATACTTTGTCCCATCCCACTATTACACTACATATTACATTGTATTATAATTAATTGAATGTGTATCTGTCTTCACCTTCTTTGCGGCAGGACTCAAGCCTGTTCATTTTGACCCTCCAGTGACTAGCACAGTGATAAATTTTGAATATTGAACTGAGGATGATTCTAGGAGTGCTTGTGGATTGAGTATGAGGGTGGAAATTTAAAGTTGATCTGTCTTAGGAGAAGGAAGAAGTAGCAGACAACCTATGTTTGTTATTGGCCAGTTTAACACACAGTAGAGGCTCAGTAAATACCTGTGAAAGGAATTAATAGACATTACTCAGTTATCTGACATGTCTATTTTTATAACTAACATGTCTATTTTTCAAAATATTTTCATTGCATTATAGTACTCTAATAATCCTGTGATACCTGTAAGATAATGTGTTATCATCCATTGCCAGTTGAGGGTCTGATGACATTGTCGTGTGGTAAACTGATATTCCAGAACCTTAAAGTTAAATGGTGGTACAGCTATGCCTTACAGGCCAACTATAGGTTTCCTTTAAGTCTCATATTGACAATCCCAGAAAGACCAACACTGCTTTTTCCAAAATCAAGACAAACTAGCTTTTTCTCATATTTCTCACTCCTGCCATCTCATATTCAGTCACTCCTTACCCCTTTCTTCTCCATTTTTCTCAACCTCTGAAGCTTCTATCCTGTCTCATTTCCTCAGTAGAAAACATTGCACTACCTGTAAAATGGCAAACCACAGGCAGAAAAATCTAAGTCAACATGAGCTTTTCGGGACTAGTCATCTCTGTTAGACTGTCCTGGCTGGGTATTTTTATTTCCGTAACTTTCCAATTAACCTCGAATCTTCTGAGTAGAATCAGACTCCATCCCTCAGCTGAACAATGTAGAAACAGTGGCAGAAACATCTATTCTATTAAGTTCCGTGGTGACTGGTTTAGTTTATCCTGCTGTGTGGCTCCATTTGGCTAGGGTTGGAGGGGGATTTCTTTTCTCTCCTGGTTCCTGATGTCACCCTCATTTGTCCGCCCCTTGTTTTCATCAGCTATGGGCAACGGGCCTCAGCCTCTCATATAGTGACCAGCTGGCCCTGACTCAGCTCACTCTCTACCTGACAAATGGCCATCTGGACTGCAGTCTGAGCACCCTTGAAGTGCCCCGCTTTGTCCCAAAGAAGGAAACAAAAATGAAGCAGCGTGGCACCCTGTCAGTGCTGGTAAGCAACAGATCATTTCTGATCATTCTCGTGTTCAGCAACACTTAGCTGCCATGTACAGAGCTCTGTCTGCATGTAAGGCTCCTCGAGTTAGAGAAAAAAGAACAAACCAGGCAAATGACTGAACTGCTCTGAACCGGGTTTGGAGGATGTGAAAGTCTAGGTTGCCGGAAAGGGGAGAGGGCACCCAGAAAGAGGAAGCAGTAGTGGAACGTGAAAGCTCAGGGGTTTCTGTTTGGGTGAACCCCTTAGTTCTCTGCTTGTTTCCCTGGATCCCTGGATACCTGCTGCTTCAGTGACCAGCTCTTTCAGACAGACTCCATTTTTATGCCCAACTTCTTTTTTGAGCTTCAGACTCCTAGATCCAATATTCTACAAAACTTCTCTGCTTAGAGTGCTCAGAGTCAGGCTATTCAGAATTGCATTGTCATCGCTCCTGCCCCTGTACTTCCTCTTGCTGGATCAGGGTAGAGACTGGTTAAGACACCCGTAGGTCCACCGGCACTCTGCAACCAGACATGTTGATTCCAGCTGCTAAAATGCCTCAGCTCAGAGCCCTCCTGTCCCACCATGAAGATACTGCCCTAGCTTCTGCGCTCATTGTCTCACACTAGTATTGTAACAGCTACTTGTTAAGACTCCCTGCCTCTTGTTTCTCCTCTTAGTCTAGACACACTCTTCAATCAAGGCACCAAGGAGAAAACCAAATCTAAGCATGTTGCTATCCTACTTAGGATTTTTTAATGACTTTCAGGAAAATCCCAACTTCCCAGCTTGGTTAACAAAAGCCTTCATGATCTGCCTCTTCCTGTGGCCATGGTGTCCCTCCTCGACACCATCCCCATCGCAGAGGTAGCTGAGGCCAGTCCTGCAGCTGCTGAGCTTTAACCAAGCTCAGCACCTGGGTAACAGAGGGTAGATAGGTCTCTGTGGGAAGAGTTGGCTGTTGATGGAGCAAGCTAAATCGGTCATGGAGAAAAAGAATGATGGTCAAGAGGACCTGATGGCCCTGTGTATAAGAAGAGTGCTTTGGGGTTCTCTGGCCACAATTACCCTAATAGCTGTCACAGGGTTGCTTCTGCTTTATACAATAGTGGGCCTCATGCCCCTTTTTCCAAATGAAGCTCCATTTGAAATCCAAATATATTGAGCAGATAAAAGAGGAATTCCAGTAGTCAGTAGGTCCGCACACTGGTATCCCAGGGATACTTTTCCAGAGCAATGTATCCTGACTGTCTGCTGAGTGCCTTTGGGTCTAGATGTCTATGGATTTAAAGGACCTTGTTTGACTGCCCAGGGTCTCTACAGTCACCCTAGAGAGGGTGCCTGATGTTACAGGTGCTCAAGTAGTCTCCTCTTTCTCCTTTTCAATCCAGTTGACATGTGAGGAACCAGCTAGGCCCTTGCTCATGGGACTCCCTCAATCTTTGCTTATTAAGAAGACAAGCAAGCTGGCAATCTCAGCATTCTGAGAGGCTGAGGCAGAAAGACTGCAAGTGTGAGCCCAGGCTAGACATTTACCAACTTAGTGAGATGCTGTCAAAATAAAAAAGTAACAATGAGCTGGGATGTAGATCAGTGGCAAAAGGCTCTTGGATTTAATCCCCAGTATTAGAGAGAGACAACGAGACAGAGACAAAAACAGAGAGAGAGAGACAGACAGACAGACATTTGGACCAAGGAGGAGAAACAGTTCTCCTTTAATTAGGCCTCAGGACCTTGCTATGAATCTCCAATGTCCAACCCCACTTGTAGCCTTCATTTTCACCATGGGGATCTGCAGGATGCTAGGTTTAGTGCTAGAAGAAAAGATAGCATTAATACTCAAGCCCTTCTGACTGGTGAACCTAACTCCAAGCCATTTTTAAAAGGAAGCTAGAAGATAAGTTAGTATTCAACACATGCCTTCCAAAGACAATTTGCTGCATTTAAGTGTGTGGCTTCAGAAAGACGTAAGCAGAAGTTATACTGTGAATTAGAAGCACTCTCCCATTTTTCCCATCTTGCCTATAGGTTTCATTCCTAGTTACAGGCCACATACAGGAATTTTCCAGTGATCAAGAGAGTTAAACACTTTCAGGAACTGCCTACACACAAGAGAGATGCATTATGATTTTCACTACTTCAAATGTCTCTACAATCACTGCAGAAAAGTTCTGTGTGGTTTCTGGTGTAGAGATAAATTCAAAGTGCTTGGTTTTAGAGAGAGAAATGGATGTCCTGACGCTGGTGCCACTGCTTGTGTGTATATGCCCCCATGGGTGTGGACTCATATGATCGGCTCTTTTTAAAAAAGAAGCATTATGGATGTACACACAGTGCAATTCACAATCAAATTGAAGCCTCCTGAACAAGTGTGAACTGACTACGATGCTGTCAGGTTTATGATCCGACAGTTGACAGCCCCTTTGAAGACTGGAGAAAAAGGGAACAAATACATGAGACCGCTATGATAATGACAGTGCACTCAGAACTGATGCCTATAACATGCGTCTATCCCTTTAATAATATGCTATACAGGGGAAAGCAGAAAACTCTTTTGGACTCTTAGAATAACTCAGAATTGTTCCAGGTCAGAAAGAGGTGACATGGCTGTCTAGACCTGGTTAGAACTGGTGAACGGGCTTTTGATCCAGTCTCCTCCAAGACAGCCACTTGATGGTGTAAACAAGGTCTGAGAAATCCCCAGACAGGCATGTTTAAGAAATAAAAAAGTAATAGCCTTTTAAAAACTTTTAATTAACATTCTAGCAGACATGGTGTAAACTGTTATCCTTTGCTATCAGTTTTTACTCCTTCCCTCTTTCTCTGAACCCTGCAAACCCCAGTTGGTGAATGGCCGAAAGGAAACATCTTTGCTAACAACTTAAAACAACCCAAGTCGTTTATATGCATTTTAACAGCACTTGATCTGTAGTGAATGATTAAGTAAAACCTTTTGTGTTAAATTATGATGTTAATAATGATTCTGTCTCCTGTAATTTATTATGAATTCTCAAATGCTTCGGGTTTGATTTTGATAGAATGCAACAACAACAGAGTTTATCTGATGACTTTATTTTTAGAACTCCTTCTTTGAAGGCACATATTTCCCCACTACTGCTGCTACTGTAATTATGCACAAAACCAATCACTCATTAGAGTTAGGATACATTATCTTCTAGACAGATGAGGCTAAATAAGCAACACATTAATAATTCAGAGAGCAGTTCATTATGCATGTGGATGCCTGCTTCATAACTGAAATAAGAACCTCATCAGCCTCTGCCAACCCTTAAACAATAGTTCTGTGTTATTGCAGCCACATTCCAGTTTACGCTTGTTAAACTGCTACTTGGATTATTTTATCAAACATTCATTTATTGTGGTCCTTTACTGCCGAGAACAGATTTTGGAAGCTCCTTTTTTAAGTTAATGATTTGAGCAATGGGTGTTATTAATTCTCAGAATATTATAAACATGATTAATTTCCAGGCAGAGATTTATTACATAAGGATTTCAACTATGTCAACTGAAATGCATCACTGTCAAAACAAGTATCATGGTGAAAATAGAATATGCTCCACACTTCAAATGCTGGTGCTCAGAACTAAATCAATTTAAATTGTGGCTGAAGCAAAATTATATTCTCCAGTGAAAAGGAGTATTCGGAGCTTCCTTTATTTAGCTTGAAGCACTCTTGTTAGATTGTGATTTAGAAAGGTAGTTTAATAAGCCTAGACTTCTGGAAATGTTTTCTTTTGCTTTCCCTAGTTTTCATAAGAGCTAACTTCTAAAATTCCCACAAATTCCAGATGTAGCCAGTGGGAATTTGGAAAGCACTGGTTTAGGAGTTGGGGATCAGGAAATCTGATTGTCTCTCTGGCCTCAGTGACTGCAAGGTCTCTCGAGGGCTAAGACTGTAGGGAGCCTGCAGAATGGGCTTCTGTGCTAAGCCTGACCAGGCAGCTCCTGTGCTGTGCAGGCATCTGTGAGGGAACACAGCCTGTCCTGCATAGTTCTGGCTTTTTGTAGATACTTCCAGAAAGGGGTAATACTGTTATGACTGGTCATATGCTAAGTCTTCACCAGCCATCACTTTGGTTATATCAGTTAACACTTTTACAAGAATCAACTAGACACAAATTTAGCAGTTATTTACTCAACACCTGTTTCTGCCAGGCACTCAACTAGGCACAGTGGATATAAGGACAAGTACAGCAAAGAGCTCCAAGTTTATCAAAAGGCACGCATAGGGCAGCAGACAACTATGCCATGTTAATTAATATGATGTAACATCCAGAATATATTTAGCCTTACTCCACATCAGGTACTTTTTAAAGTGCTTTACGTGAATCTTTTTATGATATACTGATATTAGGCAGGTAATATTATGTTCATTTTTAGGTAAGGAAACTGAGGTTAAGAGGTGTTAAACAACTTGTTAAAGATCACTCAGCAAACAAATGGTGAAGCCAAGGTTTAACTCGTCAGAGTTGAAAGCCTGTTTGTTTAACCTGCTGTGCACTGGCTGAGAGTCAGGGATCAGACCCAGGGCATATCTTTGAGGAAGTCTCTAGCAAAGGCCATATCAAAAATTATTTTTCCAAAGGAGGATTCACTTGCCAGTGTGATGAAGTTGTTTCCAGGTACACTGCCATTACCTACTGGTTTCCCATCCATTCTGGGCTGGGCCAAGACCCAGTAGCACTGGATGGGTTGGAGAAGTCTTGGATTTTAAAAAGGGAAGATGAGTGGACATAGCACAGGTTCCCTGGATAGGACAGATTTCCAAATGAATGAGTATGGGGAGATCATATTACTTATACCATGAGCCCTATGGAAAAGCCCAACTGTATATATTTTTTATAAATAAACAGCTTGCACAGTAAAATGACACATGAAATATAAATTTCAGCTCTTGTCTTCAAAATCTCATTTAATGGCATCCTTATTTAAGTTCTTGGGCTATGTAGTATACCTTCATGGCTCAAAAGGCGAGTCCTTTTGATGGATGAGAA